CCCATGCTTGAATGTCCGGCACGTCCGCGTTCAGAACCCCTCCTTAAAACAATTTAAAGCAGCCCTGCTGAAAATTAATAATTAGCAATCATCTGAGTTCGGTTCATTGTTTCAAGTGGATTGCGGCCAAAAATCTCTCTTTCTGGGCAAAGCGCCCCATGTCTTTGAACTCTTCCACCAATTGTTCAGGGCTGCAGCGTTCATCAAAGACTACATGCAGCTTTCGGAGGTTCGTTGTAATCTCAGACATCGAAGGACGGGGTCTCAAGCTGAATGCGCTGAAGGCGCCTCATTGAAAGTCATTGTCAAGTCATTGTCCTCATTACTGAAAGTCATTGTCAAGTCATTGTCAGTCAAGGTCATTGCCAGTCATTGTCAGTATACCTGCATTTCCCGCCAAACATAAGTTCGCTGAGCGACACTGACCCTCAAAGTCTGGAAACTCTGCCTTTGCTGTTGCCACAGCCGCTGACAGCCACCCATTCATTCTTTCCAGGCACCGGTTCACCATACACCTGTCCAAATCGCCTCCAAGCTGGCGGACTTCTTTGGGCAGCTGGATCAGTGTCTTGTTGGATTCCAACCACGTCATTACCTCAATCGGCGGTTAAGTCCTAATCCAAAGTCCAAGACAGGATCAAAGCGCCGTTTCAAAAGAACATGAAAGCAAGTGACTGCGATCAAACAAGCAACATGGTAAGTATAGCGATGGATTTTGAGGCATTCCTTCTTGACAAAAAGCGCTGCCAACCTCTCAAACAGCTGCTCAATGACCATGTTCAGCCTTGTAGAATCGATTGTGGATTTATCATGGAATCTCAGCCTCAGTGGCCGGGTAGGCGCATACCACTCATTGTTTGTCAGTGACGATTGTTGGAAATGTGAGGCAGCTGGTAACAACGGCAGTGACAATGACAATGACAATGTCAGTAAGCATCCAGCAAACGCAGTTCCTCGTCTGCCGCATCACACATCATGCCCAGCTGCAGTAAGTGCTTGGCAGTCACGTTTTAAAAAAAACTGAGGGCTCGTGCCTTGGGTTTGTTCTGCTTCCTTGCAGCGATCCTTAGACCGGCGATCTCATGTCGCCGTATCAATCAACCACAAGGGAAACTTATCCACTGAAGGCAGCTGACTGTGACAAAGGGTCTCCTGGCAGCAACTGAATACCGCTGGGAGCAGCAAAAGGAAGCGGGCCATCGGGCGAAAGGTGGATTCATGATGGTGCTTCGCACGCTGAAGACAAGCCATCTTGCAGTGGAAGTTCCGGATGCGTCGCACCTGCAGCGCAGTGATTGTCACGTGCGCTACCGGATGGAAGGTTTGGGTGAGAAAGGTTGTCACAGGGCTACCGAAACGTTTCAGAAAAGACAATGACAACAAAGACCTCTTCCTGGACAATGACAACGGCAAGTAGCAACTAAGGCCTAGACGTACTTCTTGAAAATAAGTTTATAGTGCGGACTGTGCCATATCAAGCCACACACGCTGTGCTTCCCAGCAATGTAATCTTCAAAGATGCGATTCAAGAAAGCATTGCACTTCCACTTCTGCGACAGTCTGACTGAGCCCCATGTAATTCACAAACTAAACGACACTCGTCGTGCATCTTGCCCTAATTTAGGCTGTCAAGGTCTTGACGTCTCCTGGCCTAGAAGTAGCGTGCGCTCTGTCGCGCACGCGCATCCTCATGGCCGGAAAGAGGCCTGAGAGACAATGACGTTGAGAGAATGCGTTGAGACAATGACGGACACCGGCCTTCAACCCTTGACCCTTGAGAATCTGTGTAGCCAAAGCGTAACAATCGTGTGGTCTTTGTTTCGTCCATTGCAGCATCGGTGGCAAACATTTCCTCGCACAGTTAGACATGAAAGTCACTGACAAGTTGTCGTGGAGTCATTGATTGCAAGGATGACATTTATGGCCGTGGCCACAGCTACCAGGAATTTGTTCAGGAGCTTCGACTGGACAACGTTGCGTTTACCCTTCCATCCCCTTGGCGGCGTCCTCCTCTTTGTAAAGAGCCTCCGGATGGCTTTTCGAGTCGATTGAGCGAGGTTGTAAGAGCCTGCATTGTCATCATCCACGAGAACCATCATTGAATGCTCTTTGGGACCCGCATAGCCTGGGCGGAGAACAGGGCGGGTGCTGAACTATGTGCTTCCGAGCTGCGATCATGGGTGACCACAGTAACTCTCACTGAGAGCAGTGCGCCTTGAGCATCTTGAGCAACCACGGCACTCATCATCCTTTAGGAATGACAAATGGGAATGTGACAATGACAATGACAAAGTCAGTGAATGACCACCAACCGGGGACAGTGTCAGCTAAGCCTAATGCAGTTGCCCATGATCATGTTGCGGTCCAAGGCTCTTCTTCTGATCAACTTCTTTCCAGAAGCGTTCCATAATAGCTTCATTCAGAAGCCAGAGCATTTCACTGACTTGGTCCTGGCAGAAAAAATGATCAGACAAGTGTCAGCACTTTGAAATGCTTTCCTTGTTATTGTCAGTTGTTCCTTGTTATTAGCCCCCGCCTCCCAAATTTGGAGCTGCGAAAGGAGCACCCCTTTTTGACGTCCTCTATGCATTGGCAAAAGTCGTCAATGCTTGGCGCCCCCATCAGATCTGCCCTCTGAAGCTTTCCGTTCTGCGTTTCTAGTCTTCGGTGGAGCAGCGAGCGAGTGGCCATGCCGAGCGACCAAAGTTTTATGCGGCTTTGAAGGTAGTAAGGTCCAACCACAATGCTTGCCTGGGCTTAGGGGTTTTTTATCGAGTGAAACACTTACAATTACTCTGTCAAGGACTTTGTCGGACAATTGACACAAACAATGCCGACAAAGCAACACTGGCCAGAGTCTGTCAGCCATGGATACTCAGTTTTCCATCTGCTGATGAGGCGGCGTAGTCTGCCAGAGCTCTTCCCAGGTGATTTCATGGCACAGGCTCCAGTGTGAGTGTAAACTGTGCTTCATTGGCTCACATCGGACATTTTTTCAAGCATGCATGTTTGCGTGTGCGACTTCATCATTATTATGACAATGACGATGATGGGTGAGCGGCAGTTCCTAGCTGCTGGAGCCATCTTCTTCAGAGTCAGTGACAGTGACACACGCTCACATTCAACGCCAGTGACAGGCTTAGACTGACTTAGACTGACTGGAAGCGTTCCGGCCTGGAAAGCGACGCTGCTGCCTGGTTGTTTGGGGCCACGCCGTCACCGGAGCCTGAAAGGGGAGACCGGTGGCAAACCGCAGCTCATGGTAAGTGTATCCCACCTGATGACGCCTTTGTTGGGTAGCCAAGCTCAAGGTTTCTCCTTAGGTCGATGACAATCTGATTGTCACGCCTGACAAAAACTCATGACATGTGACCAGAAAACATTGAGTCCAACACGCTTCCACATGCTTGTTCACAGTGTTGATGATCCAATTGCTCTTGTCATTGATGTGGTTCGAACGTGAGGAAGTCAGGAAGTTGCACATGTCATTGTACTTGCTCTTGTCGAAGTACTTGACTATTCCAAGAGCTTGTTGTCCATGCCTGGCCAATTGAAATAATTTGAACTCTGTCTCTTGGCCCGCGCCTGGACAAGGTGTTTGCCAATTGGCGGCCTTCCCCGTCCAGGAAGTCCAGGGCTACCGAATCCCCGACTCTCGCCATCTTGAGCCGGTCACGGACAATAACGACGACAATTTGAAGGACAATATGACGACGACAATGACAAGGTCCTGGCTTTCAAACTTGGCATGACAGTACCACTCCCAGCATTTTCCCCAAAGCCTGCGTCAGCCGCAACTTGTCACTTCTTCCAAGCCAAGATGTGCGCCAGTTCCTCGGCATGTGGAATGGAAGGGCGTTCGCATTCAAACAGAATGGATTCTCAGCACGACGACTTAATTTTAAATGTAACTGAGAATCGTCAAACAGCTTTTGCGCCACTCCCAATGGCCAGCTGTTTCCGACAGCTTGGCCCAACTGATGCTCTGAGAGACCGTCAAAGTTGGAGTTGTGCCACCCCATGATCACAGCCATTTCCTGTCACGGACGATTTCAATTAATTCAATCAATGGCGATTACATTGCTTTAAAAATAAACATCGCTGCATTTAACTTGACTGTCAAGTGTCAGAACTGGTCAAGTGCCGGTCCCAGCAGGTGCAATAACAAGCTCGTGCTCCACCCCTGGACCTCGTGATCGTTGGAAGCCTGGGCCGGTGAGGCAGAGCAACACGCAGGAGCTGCAAAAAAAGACTGAGCCCCTGACCTGTTGCGCGTGGGCTTGCCTTTAAAGGTCTTCGATGCTGACGTGCCCACGAACCTCCAAGTTTCTTTAAAATCCAGTGAAGCATACGACGACGACGACGAATCAAAAACTGAGGTGGCCACCACAGTTCCTTGCTTGGATCACGCTTCTTCACGTTCTTGATGTAGTCCAAAGCTTCCTTCAACCGCTGCACCCCAGTTTTGCAAGTGGGAGGACCCTTGCGCGCATCCGGGCTGTTCCTGAGCAAATGACTGTGTGGATGGCTAGGCGCAGATGTTTGATGGTTTTAACTCATGCTATTAAGGAAGACTCGTCGGACCTAATGGTCAGTGACAAGCAGCTTTGCAATAAGCTGCCGCACGGACACTTTCTTCTTGGAGGGCAGCGGGAATTTGAAGGCGCCTCATCAAAAAAGGAGCCAATTGACTGGACTGGCCAAGTTCTTAGGCAAGCTGGGTCAATGACGTTTAGCTTTCTTGGTCTTGTAACCCACAATCCAAAGTCTCTTCCGCTCAGTGGCCATTCCGTGACAACGAGAATTCAAGACCTGACGCAGCTCAACTTAGGAAAATCACTGACGGACTCAACAACGTGACCCAACAACTGCAACTAACTGGACGCAAAGTCCTTGTGCTTCACGGTGTAGCCAGGCATCCGCAGCCTCAGACTTTTGATAATCAATGACTAGACATTACGAATGAATTTAAATAGGACTGAGTGGTTCAGTCGAGTTACTTGGCCAAGACGTTGCCAAAGAACTTCTTGTGCTTGACAATGTCGGGCACCTGCTCGAGCAAGAAGGCATCCGGCTGGATCTTTGCGATCCTATTGGCAGCCTAGGCAAGCTTACAGCAGCGACACGGCGCTGACCAATCGTCAATTTCAATCATTGTTTCATTAAGTTAAGTTGTGGCAAGGAACGGTCATTTGTAGATCGCTTCGTTCATCGCCTTCTCCTCCACGTCTGCCTATCTTGCTATAGGGTTGGCAGGGCGCACCTGCCGAGTACGCAACGGGGTTTGTCTGGCCCTTGACCTTCTTCAGAACATGTCCGGGCAGGTGTTTCCTGGCATCATCGGAAACAAAGGCTTTCGGGTGCAAGTTCGCGATGCGGTTGCGGAGAGCTGGCTCCGATTCCGAGGCATAGGCCAAGGTTGACGGCGCGTTTGCGTTCCTGGCAGGAGAGACGCTAAGAACCCTTTGACGCAATGCGACTGGGTGACTGACTGGCAAGGACTCTTATACTAAATCATATTTTCGTTGTGTCTCAAACCCAACTCACACCTGCAAAGCTCTTTCAAAGGCTCCAATCCGGCGCAATCGGACATCAAGATGACGGGCATGGTTTCCGCCGCCCGTGCTTCAGAAACAAAACGCTGATCAGTCTGCGCCCCCCCCCGCCGCACGTCACTGACTTGAGCGTAAATATGCATAAATTGACAATGACATAATAAAGGCTACATACCCTTGACATTGACTCTCCTGTAGCAAAAACTCATGACTGAAGTTCTCCTGGGCTAGCGGCTCGGCTAGTCCAAAAGGCGGGCAGACGAATCTGAAGCCTGGCAAGATCGTCGGTTCACTCCAAGCATTCATTTCCTGGGACACCTGCCGGCCTTGTTGTCAAGGATCTCCGCTTGGCCTACCGTGCTTTGAATCATTGATTGCAACAAACACTTGCACAAAACAAGCAACATTCTAATGAAGAGCAAATGGAGACAATGACAAGTCAATGAGAATTTGAAGCTGAGAACAATGACAAATCAAGACAATGACAAAACAAATCAATGTCAATTAACGAGCAATGAGGCACCACATTTTTCAACCCACTGGCTGTGATCCCTGGTTGCCGAGGAACCAGGTGACATCGCAGGAGATACAGTTCGACATGTATTTGTGAAACCTGTCGCCATATATGCCATATTTCAACTGACGAAAGCACACCGCGGCAAACTTTAGTTGCCGGGCCACTGGAAGCGTCGCGACAATGCGTAAGGCCGGCCCAGTCTCATCAAGCTGTGCGTCTGCAAAAACCTCGTGCCTTAGTTGACATTGAATGAGTCACTGACGCGCCTACTTTTTTGGGCAAGTGTAATTGTTATTACGCCGACTGTCATAAAATTATGTCATAATTATTACGATACTGTCATTGTCACGACGAATGCAACCTGAGGGCAGGATGGTGCGAAGGCCATTTGGCATATTGTGGGATGTCAAGACAGCCTCCTCATCGCCGGTGTGTGGGGAAACTTGAGGCTGAGGTGGGTGAGCTTTCCACGGTGGAACGCAACCTGGTGGGCTGGTGGAACTGGTGGATGCCGCCTGTACTCGTCGTGCCTTAGACGGTGGCACTGGCTGGTCATCATCTGACTCGACCTCATAAACCTCAGCCTCGTCCTCTGTCTTGTCAGCATCGTCACGAACCAACCTTAGTTGCATTTTGTTATGATCACATGGCAATGAAGTTCGCAAAGAAGTTCAGACAACTTCAACTGCACACAAGCCAAGCGACGGCCAAGGCTTGCAGGTGTTTTCTTTCCAGAAGTTATCAAGGCATGCCCCCAACCAGTACACGTAGTGCGCTTCATTTCGCAGGTCCCGGTTCCGGCCAATGACCCTGAGCACGGTGTTCCGATAAAATGCCATTTGCCTTGGCTAGACAACTCTCAACCCGTCAGCTGTCAACTCAACCTATGTCTGGTTTTAAGACATTAAATTTTGCCTTCAAGGTACCGTGTATGAAAAGAGTCACTGGAAGGTGACAAGAAGCTCTCACAGTCCTGGATGTCATGGGTCCAACTATCTGAGAGGGAGACGATGACAGGGCATACCCACACTCCGGTTTCGTCTAACGGGTCGCCGAAGAAGTGACAATTTGATCACAAACACTAACAGAACAAGGTTGACAATGACTGACAATGACGACACTGACAGTGTCCAAAGCACCCACAGGATGCTTGCGATCAGCATCACAAAGGCTCCAGTGCGATGATACCCAGCATTGCATGAAAGGAAGATCCTCAGGATATTCTTGTTGAATAAGTTCACGATCATCTGCGCGACATCTTTGCAACGTCGGTGGCTGTAGACCTGCAACAAAAGCTGAAGCCACGGGCAAGAACACTCCCAGGACAATTTCTTTCAATTTCAACGTGCGTTTAAGATCGTTAAGCCCAATCACTCCACGCTGCGTTTCGCCATGGGCGCAGCCGCTGTGATGGCCGCCCCAATAGTGGCCATCTTTGGTGTGGAAGAGGTGTTCCGCGAGGTCTTTGTCGATTGTGGCCCAGTGATCCTTGAACTTTTTCCAGTAATGATGTGGCTTCGAGATTCTCCATCCGCAATCAAGGATCACATCAACCTCATCAGATGACGCTGATGCTGCTTTGTTGAAAGTTGGTCTCAAACAAACGCAAACAATTAAATTGAAACATACAAAAACTCAATGATGACGATATTCACGCCTGAGCCTTCTTGTCGTGTCGGGGCTTGGGTTTCCTAGCCCATCCAAAAATGACAACTCGCTGCGCCGGCGTTGACGACATGGCTTCACTCGGAGGAACTGCGCAAAAAGGCTAGTTCATCGTGGAAGAACAGTCAGTGTGTGTCATTAAGATGTCATTGAGTGACACTTGCACTGCTTGAATGACTGAATGTCTTGAATGTCATTGCCAAACATCGTTCAGCCTCAAACATTTTGGCATGTGGTGAATGACAATGACAAAATCAAGGCACTCCAGAGTCAATGACAGCAAGTGGCCGAAGAGTCAAGCCGGCCTTTGTGAGGAGGAGGACGGGGCAGAACAGTCGTGCTCGTCAGAATCAGCCATGTTGAACACGCCTTGGCATCAAGGTGGCTCTGATGGAATCTGGCCATGGCAACTTACAGAACGCTTGTTATTATTCAGTCACTGACACTCTTTGCAAAGCGCCGCGACCGTATCTCCTGTCAAATGAAACTATATAATCACTGTATTATTATTGTCACATCCACTTAGCAAGCTTCAGCGTAACCGTTCTGCTTGTTTTGCAGTCCTGGTTCTGGAGGGTCCTGGTCTTCGCCCTGACATTGGAATTCCATGACATCAACTGACGGGAATGACAGGAATGAATATCTGGCCTGAGGAGGCTTCTCAATGAGTTTCATGGAGGTGCTCAAAGTCTGGAACACATGCATGGCCTGGCAATCGAGGTCAGAGACGAACAGAGCAGTACATGGAGGTCAGTGACAATTTCAAAAATAATAAACTAACATAATAAACATGACTATTGTCCTCATCTTCGGTGATGTCTCGCTTCATCATGGACTCCACCAGCTGGATCGAGGTATCCAAGGTCACGTTGATTTTCTTCCTGGAGGTGTCGAATTAAGGAATGTGTGCGTCCAATGCGTGCGTCCAACGGGTGCGTCCTGACCAAGCTGACCACACACTTTTCGACCTTCTCGATGGCTTCGCGTAGATCCATCCGACCTGATCATCAATACTTAATGGGTGACAATGATGGCCAAGAGGGGATGTAGCTGAGGTCCAAGCACAAAATGACGGTGACTGGCACCAGGCAATGATGGCTGCGGTGACAATGACTGACAAGGACAGCTGCGGTGACAATGACAAAGACAGCTGCGGTGACAACAATGACTGAGAAATCAAAAGCTTCCTATTCCCGTCGTGATTTATCCAATGTCAAGACTTGGGTAAATCACGACGGGAAACTAAACTATTTTGCACACGAATTTTGCAACTTGCGCCCAACTATTAAACTTAATGCCTGAACTTTTCAAAATAAATAAACCGAGATGAAAATTGATTTTAAACGTCGTGAAAATTTGGAACGACTCACGTCCTCATTTCCGGACTAAGTCAGAAAAAACTGGGAGGACTCAGGTTGAGTTGAAAAGCTGGCAGGTTGAGAAGCTGGGGGAAGGCATGTCACTGATCAATCACAGGTTGAGTTGACCAGACAAGCTGGCAGGCTCAGTCTGTTGAGTTGAGAAGCTGGGGGAAAAACAATCCCCCTTCACAGCCACCCAGCATCGCGCGATCCCCAGGATTGCCCGCGACCGGGACAAATCGCACTCTCGCCTGCATTTCGCGCACTCGACGCGCACGATCCCCGCAGAAGGTTGCCCGCGACCGGGACAAATCGCACTCTCGCCTGCATTTCGCGCACTCGACACGCACGATCTCCGCAGAGGGCCGGTTGTCCCGGACCGGGACAAATCGCACTCTCGCCTGCATTTCGCGCGCTCGACACGCTCCGCAGAGGCTTGCCCGCGACCGGGACAAATCGCACTCTCGCCTGCGTTTCGCGACCTCGACACGCACGATCTCCGCATAGGGTTGCGCCGCACAAAGCCAAATCGCACTCTCGCCTGCATTTCACGCGCTCGACGCGCACGATCTCCGCAGAGGGTTGCGCCGGACAAAGCCAAATCGCACTCTCGCCTGCATTTCGCGCACTCGTCGCGCACGATCTCCGCATGAGGGTTGCCCGCGACCGGGACAAATCGCACTCTCGCCTGCATTTCGCGCGCTCGACGTGCACGATCTCCGCAGAGGGTTGCGACGGACAGAGACAAATCGCACTCTCGCCTGCATTTCGTTCGCTCGACACGCACGATCTCCGCAGAGGGTTGCGTTTCGTGGTGCTCCGGCGGTACTGCCCCCGGCCTTAAGAGAGAAAGCTAAGAAGAGCGGGAGGTGAAGATGTGAGATGTAGATGAGAGGTAAGGATGTGAGATGTAGATGTGAGGATGTGAAGATGAGCAGAGGTGTAGATGTGCAGTTGTGAATGTAGATGTGATGTGCGAGGATGTGATGTGAGCAGTGGATGCGCAGAGGTGAAGATGTGAAGATGTAAATGAGACGACGTTCTTCTGCAGATGTTTTTTTACGAAGAACCCTTCGCCGACGCTCTCGGGAACAAAATTATCTTGAATATGTTTCTGTGCTGCACATGTCTTGCCTAAAACCTGTTGAACGTTGAACGCAAACACTTTCCTATTGTCAACCCCTAGTGATCTACCTTCATCATCTCTTGAACCTCAAAACTATCAGCGCCCCAACATGACGAAAGCGTCCCCAAATGCAACGAAACCTCCTTCATTCCATAAAATTTTGTGTCCTTCAAGTTCAAAGACCTCCATTTCTATATCTTATGAAAGGAAAATGATAATGAAGATTAATATTAATGGAAAATTGCAGGTTAGATCCCTAAGTTAACATTATTCGTGAATGCTTACCAAAAAATGTAGACTACATTTTTGTAGGTCCCCCCTCACTTAAGAGTAGGGATGGTGTAATCACATCCTTGTTCCGGCATTGTGCGTGGTGTAAAGCCAATGGCGTTTACTGCGATTCGATTGGGGTCGAGGCTGGCTTCTATAACGCTTCTTCCTTCTTTTATTTATTTACCGTGGACGTAGCAACTATTTACAAGCCGTGCTTAGCGGACGTCATATAGAGTAGGTTGGGCATGAGCGATATGCCAGGCCAGTTTGATAAGTTCTGCTTTCTCCAAAGGCAGGGATGTGCTCGCTAAAGCCATTGCATGCGCTGCGGAACCTGCTTGAAGGAGCCTTTTGTGGAAGCAGCGCGCTTGTTGCAATTTTACCCAGCCGAGGTGAGGGAAAGACTTTACTGGCCATGCCCCGCTCAAAGCTCAACGCTTGCTCTAGGTTTGCTTCTTGTGGCCCAACAGTTGAAATTACGAGAGCGACTGGGAAGGCCTTGCCTGTTCAATATGAATATGAAGGTGGGCTTGTGAGGGGTTGTTGAAGTGTCCAGGCTGTGACGCAATACCCAGACACACGGACATGGTACATACCATGCGCGTACAAAGATTCTAAGAACAAACCCGTGCAGCCTGGGGTGACCTCAGGACACCAGGGCCTGCGAGATTTTGCACTGCGCAAAAGAAGTGCAGTGTGCGTCTTCGTGTTGGCAGCAGGGGAGCAACTTTTACGCGAGGAGTATGCTTCGAGTTAGGTAGCGCCAAGTGTATACATAGCGTTCTCCAGAACATACACGGGCATGTTTGCGAATTGGCGAAGCGTGGGGGGAACACACGGGTTTCGGAAGAAGACGCAGGGTTGTTCAGCTCCTTTCAGAAAAGGACACAGGTAGTGTTGCCAAAACACCAGCCTGGCGAATTAAAGCGCCAAAAAGCGCCAGGGTTGCGCGCGTTTAACTGAATGCCACACATGCCATGCGCCCACCCAGGCGCAACCGCCTATAAGGGCTCAGGTAAGTTGAAGCCTCCAAAAGCCCACGAGCTCGAACTGCGGAAGCGCGACGAGGTGACCACGGATCGTGCAAACAAGTGCACCACAGCAGGTACATTTTCACGACAGCTTGGGTGGGCCTTCGTTGGCTCATGCCATCCAATTAATGTGTCCATGGGCCCCCTGCTGACAAAAAAGAGAACATACGCATTCAAAGGAATCCCTGTGACTTGAAGGGTTACACGCGCACGCCTCCCACCGCAGCCTGGCTCCGTAGAGGCTCTTCTGTTGTTGCCCGTGGTGCCCAAGTGAGTACTGGTAGAGCTAGTGCGAGGCAACGCAGTAGGCACATCGTGCCGTGTTGCAGCTGCAAAATCATGAGTCGTAGTGCGAAAATGGTAGCTTGAAGATGGGCAGCGACAAGCGCCAGCAGTGGATGAGGATCAAAGACCGGCATCCAAAGGACGGGGTGGAAGGTCGAAAATTTGAGCCAAAAGGAGTGGGTAAACCGGATACAGATGAAGAGTGAAAAATGGAACACGGAGTGAAGGACCAAAGGTGAGACAAGAGACTTTTTGGCCTAAGCGTCAGAACTGTCTGCGTCGTCCGGAAAAGTGATATATCGGCAGTGGCTATGTAAGTGTGAGAGAGAAAGATGAAAGCGGCGAGACAGTTGACCTTGAAGAGAGGTAGAAGTTGTAGCGTGGAGAAGCCCTTGTCGGTGAAGAAGCCGCCAGGAGCTGTACTGGGCGAGCCGGCAGTTCGTCCACACTACGAATCAAGGGCAAAGGCGGTGGTTGGCGAAAAGTCCGGAGAGACGCGAAAATCAAGAGAATGTCATCAGGGACGAATTCCATTTCCAGAGGTCCGCCATAGAAGAATGGATGAGAAATGACCTGAAAGGATTTGGTTCGTGCCCAGGAAGAAAACGTTGTCCACGGGCTCGAAGGAATAGCCCAGTAGCCTACCTCCATGAGAAGGAGGTAAAGGCGGAGACGGAGAGAAAACAACATTCTCGATAATGCGACAGCGCTACAGGGACTGGGCAGTGGGGAACCTACCGCGAAAGATGCGTTTGAAGGCGTTCTTGTTGATGCTGTGAAACACTGATGACCGGACCGTCGTTCAGGTCAAGTCCTTGAAGCGCTGCGTAGCGGAGAACGAGGTATTCGATGGTAGTGACAAAGTTGTCCTGTTGATAGAGGACGAGATCGTCCGTGGTGGAAAGGTCCTGGAACAATTGCCAAGCATGGTGGAGAAGTTTGAGGATTTGTTTGATCTAACTCACCTATTTTACTGTGTGGATTTCTATTGATATAGCTTTCCATGCCTTTGCACCTTTCCCGCTTTCAGCGCTTGGTGTTGCTGCCAGACCTCAGTCTTGAGGATGAGTTGATCACTCCAGGGTATGCAGAGCTTTCTGTTGGGGACTTCATGCTCAAGGGGCGCTGCCGCTCGCCGCAGATTGAAGGCACGAATTGATGGGCCAGATGTTAGTCGGACGTTTCTGCGACCACAACGTTGTACGTACCTAGCGACACGCCTTTGAGCTGGGAGTGTCATTTTTGTGCTTCTGACGCTCTTTCCACCTTCCTGCTCCACGCCTCCTGGGCCCCCTTCCCCAGTTCCTTCTCCCTGCGCCCTTTACATGTCGCCAACGGATTGGCGTTGCGTTGGAGGTAAAGCGAGGCATAGTTGGAGAGTGTGTGAAAAGTTCCAGCTGAAAAGCTCCAGCCACCTGCGTTGCTTACTGGTGTTGGGTTGCAAAGCTGTGAATTGCTAGCTGCAACTGTTTCCAATTCATTCCCTCATATAGCGTAACACTTCCAAACCAAGCAAATTGCATTTTGCTTGTGTTTCTGTTTGCCGCGACACAAGTCGCTTTAAGAGGCGGCAGCCCGTGCCACTAAGACTAATGTTAAAGGCATATATAGGCATAATCCAACCACGCCGCTCAGCAAGCACCTTCGGGGCGCATTTTCTGCTCATCCGGCGATAAGAGTCTGGCTCGAAATTTGTCAGGTTTTCCGTTGCTTCTACTTTGTACGCTACATGTTTGGCGATGTTTATCATCAACTTTGCGCAGCATTTGCGCACTCCTCCGTAGTTTTGTTTCGAAGCCTGTTCTGGCAATACATTTTTGATTGAAGGCTGCGTGTTGAAATCGGGGGAGCGTAGTGAAATTGATTTGTGGAAAGTAGGAAGGATGCAGCTTGCACAAAATAATAATGGCCACCTACGATGCAAGACCAGCCACCTGCAACCAACTTGCTCATGCAGCCCACTTGCGAGCAATGTTGGTCCTGGTGCTCATACAGCTGCCTGACAAGCGAACACTGTGAGTCATTTTGGGCGGTTCTTTTCTTGGCAAATTGGGCCCAGCTTGAAAAACATGGTCCGAAAGCCTGCGTCCCAGCTGTTTGTTCTAAAGGCTTGCGGCCGCGCAAGGCTGGAGACAGAGGGATAATTAGAGAGAAAGAGAGCTCGCGAGAGAGTGTGTGTGACCGTGACGCGAAGTGACACCTGCCGCGCACACTAGTTTCCGTGAGGCTTCCTGGGCGCCGCTCAGGCTGGGTGCGTTCGTTCGATTTTTCCGAGCGCGTAGCGAAGGGTTCTCGTTTAACTTCGGGGTCTTGGGGTATAGACTCTTGTTTGCGAGTCGTTGTTGTGGCTGTAACATTTGGAACCGTTTGCAGCCGTCCGCATCGCAACCGTCCGCGGTGGGGCGCTGACACTGGGCGCAGCTTTTGGAGAGGGTTTTGGATGGGGGCATGACGCGTCAGATTGTGTGAAGTAGCGAGAAAACGTGTGGAAAACCTGTTCAGGTGTGGAGGATGATTTCACCGCGCACGCGCTTCTTCGCAGTCAGATTGCGACTGGCGTTTAGAGGGCGGTGGTTTTCGGTGTATGTGGTTGCGACATTGGGATTTGCGTTTCAGGCTGTTGCTTTGAAGCGGTGTTTTCGTGACAAGTCTCGGCTAAGATGGTGATTTTGGTGGAGCGTGCTCAGAACATGTCGAAATCATTCCAAACGTGTGGCGCGGTGCAAAATTTTGTAGCTGACGACGTGAGCGTGATTGAACATTTTGGTGTGGAAGTCGAAGTTGAATTTTTTTGGCGGGCGCAGGGAATCGTGAGGTGGCAATGCTTGATGGAGTTGAGCGCCGCTGCAACATTATTGGCGTGTCAGCGGTTGTGGTCTTGACGGGGGATAACGAAACTGCGGCAGGGCTGTAGAATGTGCTGTCGCTGATGAGACTTTCCGCGCCGCTCTTGAAGGAAGTCTCGCGCAAAATGTTTGTTTTGGATACTTTAACGCGTGATCTTTGGAGGAAGTCTTGTTGGAGACTTCAAGTGGGAGTTTCAAAAGAAGTCTCGCGCGAAGCGCCTGGTTTGCAAACTTGGCATGTGACTTTCTGGACGAAGTCTCGTGCAAAACGCTGGTTTTGGAGACTTGTGCTGTGAGTGTTGGAGAAAGTCTCGTACGAAACGCCAAGGGTGTCCCATCAATTTACATTTTTGGTGATTTACGTAAATTGATGAATTTAGGTGGCAAAAGTGTAAATGGGTTAGTAAATGTAAATTCGATCTAGGTACAACCTAAATTTATTTAGGCTGGTCTTCACTAAGGGCTTTTCCTATTTTCTCTCTACTTTTTGATTTGCAAATATTCAAAACTGCATCTAAAACACATCTTTTGAAGAAAGTAGTGTAATTTGTAAAACATATAGCCACAAGTAGAGACGCTTGGATAAAAGCACAAGCGTGCACATTCAGGTATAAGCACAAAGGAAGACAAGCACAAGCAAAATGACTTGGGTGAAACAGAAAAGCAGACATACTCAGGTAAACACAGTTCCAATTTGGAAGAAATGTGGCCACACAGTGTTTGGGCGGCTACTTTTTGGGCAGCGGCTTTTCCAGAAAACCTCCTCTAACTTAAGCATTGTTTTTCCTGAGGTGCAACAGGGTGCCTGTTCTTGAGACTGGCCACCTTGGTTGCCCCCCAGTGCTTGTTGCCTGCAAGGCAGCTTTTCATCAAGGTCTGTACAGCCCTCATTGTTTCCTCCCCTTTGAAGCACCATGTGACTGAGGGGTGTATCGAGTTTGAAAGAAGAAAGCTGTGTATACAGAAATGTGTCTTCGAGGTCATATTAAACAATGGCGTCTCCTCAGTGGCAAAATAATCACGCAGTTGGACATGCACCTGTGCCATTTGAAGGCCTTTGGTCACTAGTTGGCTGTTTGAGCAGCTTTTACATGAGGGTGTGACTTTACTTGAGAAGCTTTTACTTGAGGATGTGATTTCACTTGCGGTTTCTTTTACTTGAGGATGTGCGTCTGCTTTTACTTGAGGATGGTTTTACTTGAGTGTATGTTACACCAGGTTGAGACTTTGTGTAAGTACGCTTTACATGAGTATGCCATTCAACTTGGAAGTGTGCGTTGTCTTGTTGAGTTGAAGTGCATTTGATAAGTTTTTATGAAATTTAGTTCAAGAACCAAAATTTGATATAACATGTTGATGAATTCTTGATGCACTTATGATGTACTTTTGATGTACGTCTGATGTACTTTTGATGTACTTTTTAAAATGTATACACTTTTGGTCCAACGTGTATACACTTTTGTTAAGAGTCACTTTAAAAAGTACATCAGAAGTGCACCAAAAGTGCATCACAAATTCATACAGGTTTTTGGCAGGTTTCATGAAAAGTTATGATGTTCTGCATCATCTTGTCAGCAAACACATACCTAGCAGTCTTGTGGGTTTATCCTTTACATGAGAATGTAATGCTTTTGCGCAAAGAGTTGATCAGCGTTGTACGTTGTTCAAATTGAAGTTGTTGAGAGTTTACTGCGCAGCTGGCTTATTGGTTGTTGTTGACTTTTGCAGCTAGATTGATCTCAAAGAGCTTTGAATGATTTGAAAGATAGGTGCGGTAGCTTGTTGGCATGGCAGACGACGAAATTCCTGTGGACCAAGTCACACATGAAGAAAAGGAAGAGGTTGAGCAAAAATCACCCAGTACACCTGTGAAGAAGAAACCTGCTGCCAAAACAAAGAGCCCAAAAGCGAAGAGCCCTAAAAGGAAAGAGTCCCAAAGCAAAAGCAAAAGGAAAGGGCAAACCAGAGTCAAAGGCAAAGGCCAACTCATTGAAAAGGCCTGCTGCAAGTGGAGAGACCGAGCAGCCAAAGAAGAAACCAGCAGCTCATGGCTGGGCAGAAGGGTTGCAGGAGGATAAGGAACCATCAGAGAATCAGAGAATGCTCTTCTTCCTAGAGTGAAGAAAAGTCTATATCCTCAAGTAGATTTCCTCCCTCAAGTAGACACCCTCAAGTAAAATGGTTTTGTTCAAGTCAAGAAGGGTACACGCGCTCAAGTAAATGCAATCCCTTCAAGTAAAGGCAAAGTCCACACCTCCTGGCATGCTCAGCCAACAAAAACAAAAATCCATAGCGCAAATATCCTCAAGTACATGTTGTCCTGTAGAAAACCTGCCTCTTTGGACAAAGCCAACTCACAAAAATTGAGACATTTTCTGCTTCAAAATGATGCTCGCAAAAATTTACTCATAACCTAAATTGGATTTACTCATAACCTAAATTGGATTTACTGCTACATTTACGCAATTTTTTACGTAAATTTTCCTTAGTAAAATCCAAAAATTACGCAAAATTTATGGTTGGTAAAATTGCTAATTTGGGTGACTTAGGGCAAGAGTGTCGCACGAGAGTGTCCCACAAGAGCACCGCGTACAAGAGTGTCTTACAAGAGTGTTCCTCGGGAGTGTCAAACAAGTTTGGGCCATTTGTATTCGAGCGCGTGTTTGCATCCGGGTTCGGTTCGTGGGATCCAGTATTTTTTGAGACGTTGCGCCATCAGGAAGCGCCTCCGGAGCGAAGACTGGCAATACATGGAGCAGGGATTGTGGAGATTGCAGTTGTTTCCACAACAGATTCAACTTCCAGCTACAGCAGCCCACAAACCACAACTTCCACCACGACCACGACGACGACGACCATGACGACTTCAACCACCACGCTCCCTCCACCTCCGATGGTGATAGCAGATCTTCCGTCGGCGAAGGAGCCTCTAACCACAACTACCACCTCCACAGCCACAGTGGAAACAGCTATAGAACAGAAAAAGTTGACGACGATGGATCCGGAACAAAATATTTTGGATCCAGACTATTGGTATGGTGAGCACCATTGGGATGGTGATCTTTCAGGACTGTTTGCTGACTTTTTGCAAGCTGCGCACTTCTAAATAGGCTACGCTGAGTGCTGAGTTCCATTTGTTTCTGCTTTCTCCCGGCTCAAAGCGCATGCGCTTATTGTTTCTGAAAGGTACAAAGGGGACCTTTTGCTATGCAAACTTGGGCCTGTATGCCCCGGTACGGCCACGCTCAAATGACTGCGTGTTCATGTATGTGACATCTCATGAATCAATCGCCTCTCCTTCATTTGTTCCCATGGTTCAGCCGCGCTTCCAACGCCTGCGCGCAAGCATCTGAAATGTTTGGCCCGAAGCAGACGCTCTTCTAGGTCCTGATCTCTAGCAGCTCTTCTTCATGCTCCCAATGACCTCGGAGAGTAAGAACTCCTCACCATGGAAAATGGAAAAGGCAGACTCGAAGATTGTCACTCTAACGTTGCCAAAAACATCCAAACAACCATTCCTTTAAGAGGCAAACTGTGGGAAAGGTCCAGTCCTCTGCAGTCCGAAATCTCCATTGGGAGGTCCAAGACTTGACAGCACGCCTCCTCGCCCAAAGTTTTGGCCCTAGGAGGATGGAACCACAACCGAAGGAGCTTGGAGATCAGTAGAATCTAAAAGAGACATGTGGTTTCCAGCTTGCAAATGGCGTGTGAACAAAGATAGACAGTACTCTGGGGCTAGGGCAACTTGCGCCAGCAAAGGAGTAGATTCGAAGTCTATCTTCCGAATGTGCAAGGAGCACAAGATGGTGGCAAGCAGGTAGTGGTGATCGATCCACATAGTTGCCAGCGTTTCTTTGTCCATTTCAACTTTAATCGAAACCTTTCTCTTCAAGGTCATCTCCTTCACAACGCCAGAGCAAGAAGCGGAACGTGCCACCAAAGACCTCAAACAAGTAGGACCGCAGCCAGCTCAATGCGCTTTGAGCCCCAATGGGTGCGTAGCAACATAGGGTCAACCAACCCCAATCCCTTCTCCATTAGCAACCGGGCCAGCTGCTTTGCTTAAAGTGTTCATCAGCATCAGCAACCCGATTCTCACATCTTTGTTCTTGCCGACTGTTGAGCTCTGAAGGCACAGCAGCTGCAGACAAGGCCTTCTCCGTCTCCTGCTGCTGAATCCACAACAGGGAAGCGTCAAAATGGCGCTGCCAATGCTCTGCCACTGCGCGTAACAAACTCGGACTCTCCTGAGGACAACGAAATTCGCACTATGAGGCTGCCTGCCATGAAGATCTGGAAAGAACTTGTGGACTTGCGGTCGTGGCGATTTCCCGCGTGATCAGCATCTGTCACCAATACCAACAGGTGCTCTTCTTGATCTTCCTCATTCCGCATGTCCATCACAGACCCTCCTCGATCCTCACTCCATAGCCTTCATGGCTTGGGCAGTAGGCTTGGTCATGTGTCTTGCCAAGCGCTGAGTGGCGAAGGGAGCATCAGGCCTTGCCTGACCGGTACATCAATCTGCTCCTTGAAGAACTGTAATCCTTGCTGGTGTCTTCAGAACCTTTGAGAAGAGGTCGACATCTTTCTGGAAGCTGTCATACTGCTTTTGGTCACATCGGTTCTCCCACGACAAGCAGCAGCGTAGGTTGCACTGGATCTTGACTCGTGCCAAAAATTCTGAGCATGTTCCAGCAAACAGTTGAAACCATTGGAAAGCTGCTGTTCTTTGCCCTGGCAAGCGCAGTAACAACTTGAAGATTCGACCGTCCACCTGCGCATATGCATTCTCCTCAACGGGTTGCGGTGACATCAAGAATGCCTCCTTCACATCCAGCGTCATCGCCGCAAAATGTGTGTAGACATTCATCACAAGTTGGATGAGCATTTTGGGTAGCGCATGGTAGCACCATCATCGATGTCGGTGCGAAAGTTTGTTCTAGCTCAATGCTCCTTCTGAACTAACGCGCAGCCAGTCAAGCTCCCCGGAACCATCCTCCCATCTCCAACCGATGTTCCTAGCGCGTGACCTCCTTGGTCGAAATCACACGGCCGCCGCTCAACTCGACTTCTTCTGGTTCAATTTCCACCATTGCTGGAATGTCAAGCATTCTCGTGATCTCCTTCTCCTGTGCCACGGCATCAAGCGCTGCCAACTCCTCTTCACTGACTTCTGGAGGATCTACAACACCAGAACTCTTCATCGATCGCCTCCTCAGGTATCAAGTCTGCTCCAACTTCCTCATCTCCATAAGCCTCGGTCGCATCCATAGTGCGGTTGATAGAAAGGTCCTGATGCCGTAGAAAAGTCGTGGGTGAAGCCTGAATGGGCAGTGAGCTCATGGCCGCGTATGGTGATATCGGCATTTCAGAGCCTGACTCCTAATAGTCCTCGAACTTGGCTGGGGAAAGGAAGCTCAGAGTGCACATTGGTTCTCTGTTCACTGAAATCCGCGAAAGGCTGCGCTGCCCAGAGACGCGTAGCCCTTCACGTCCTCCAGCTGCGTCCACGTATCATCTTTGTTCTTCGCCAGAGTGGGTCTTGCCTTTCTCTTTCCTTCTCAATGTCAAAGAGGCCCTCGCAGCCTTCTGACTTTCCGTCCGTCTGACTCTGCCCTCCGACTTCGGTGCAAATCAGGAGTTCCACCAACCACCACGAGGTGAAAGATGCCCCCCCTGGATCGTGACCTACGTGTAGTAGGCATCGTGGCGCTCATAGTGCCACGTGGGTAGGGGGGGCCCCGGTTCTTACGACCAGGGCTCCGCTACCATGAAAGGCGCAAAGCGGACCTTTTGCTATGCAAACTTGGGCCTGAATGCACCGTTTCCATTCTCAAATGACTGCATGGTGATGCATCTGGCAGCTCATGGAAACCAATCAGTTTCGGTAACAAACGCACGTGCACGCGCACAGCTCCAAAAGAAACGGCAGAGAATTTGTTGTTCTCTGGCACAGCTGTATCATTCACACCAACAGAACAAATCATCCGCCAACGTGTTTATTCTCGTATTTTCCCTTGATGTGCCATTCATGATTGCCCGAAGTTGCTCGGCAACTTCAAGGCAATTTGAGGACTGGCGTTTCTTTGTTGATTTGTATCTTCTCTTTCTTGTGTGACATTGTCGTCCAAATTTCCATTCCTTGGATCTACAATGTCAAACTCAGCTGCTGCAAGACTGCAGCAATGTTAGGGCAGACAACGCCTACAACTACGCCTCTTACGACAGCTGCAGAGGCTGGCGGAACACAGAGCCTTGTTTTCCCACGGCTACAAGGCTGCAAGACTCGAGATTGCGTACCGAGTTTCTTTTTTGCATAGGAACTGCTGACTTCAGCAGAGCAGCGCAGCTAAAAGATGGCGCGTTGTCCACGAGTGAACTTTGATCTTCATGAAAGTTGAAGAAGGAGCCAAGACCTTGCGCACCTTCACACTCAGGTACCGAGGTCCGCCGACCCTTCCAGGCCTTTGGCGTCACAACTTGAATCAAACCCTTACGGATGTATATTGAAACTGCTATGTATACTTTACGAAAGCCAGCCGATAGGCTAGGCTTGAGGTAGGGGAGCGAACGAAGTGAGTTGAAGGGGGTGTGGGGGGTGGTCGTGAGGTGGCCAATTTCGGAGAGGTGGGAGTTCACGTGGATTGGGGGGTTGTTGAGGGCAGGAGAGAGAAGAGATTGCAGCGGGCAAGCGCTGGAGGCAGAAGATGGCGGAAGGCTTTGAATTGCTTTGAGGTGCCCTTTTTTTAATCCGTGGCAAGGTCTAGTTGCTGGACCGAAAAGGGCACCCCATATGGGGTGCATGTGCCATCTGTTGAGCGTACTGACCTCCCAAGAGTTCGCCCCTCCAAGAAAAATGCATAAACGCCCATGACTTGAAGCCAAGGAGGTGGCAAGGTGGCAGATTCATGCCAAACCCAGAAACCCAAGATGTTTTCACCAGTTGATTCACCATCGGCCTCGTCTTATCTAGACTTGGACCGACTTCCGATGTCTGCTTGCTGGGCACATTGTTCAAAAAGGATGCCTTTTCCAAAATACGCCCCTGATGCAAAAAGATGTCACTTGAAGCTAGGGACGGTTTGCAAAAGAGGCATCTCAAAAGGAAGGACTGACCGGTTACAGGCATGTATGTATCCTCACGAAAGCCTGCCGATAGCCTCGCCCATAGGCCCCCACGACAATCTTTGCTTACTGGTTAGCAACATGCAGCAGGCAAACTCATATAAACTATTTGAGGGCGCCCTTTTCCACCTCCAAAACACTCCTGAACCAGGACGAAAAAGGGGCGCCCCCTTTTTAATTCTACCTTTTGTTTTTACCTCCTATCGGGTACCTGGAGTTTTCCTTACGCAATCTTAGCCTATCACTTCATCTTACACACTCAAGTCGCTCCAATATCAACCTCACCACTTCCGGCTACTCTTTGTCCACTCACTATGTATATATAAATGTATCCTCACCTGCCCTACCCATGGCCGTGTTTGCTCAGTGGTTCGCAACACGCCGAAGGCAAGCGCCCCTCACTTCCTTAGGGGTGCCCTTTTTCAGCCCCTGAACCGGGACGAAAAAGCACCCCCCCCCCAAACCTATGTATCTACTTCCTATTTCTACCCCCTATCAGTGTGGCTACAATGTCAACTTCATCCCATGAAAGTGTTCTTTGCCCGATGTTATCCAATCTTTGCCCAGGCTTGCCCTGAGGACACCCCCTAACCCTTGGCTGGTTTTCGTCCCCTCCCTTCTCAGGTATATACATTTACATGTATACAGACGTAAATTGGCTCTCTGATGTTTTCTTTGGCCTCTCTCTTTGGAAAGCGGCTCTACTATCGTCGAGCTCTCTAATAGCTCTTTGATATCTCGAACCCCAGGTGCTGCATGGACGACTATTTCGCCGCTCATCACTTTCCAACCCGAAGCAGGAGAGACAACGGTTCCCTTTGGAAGGATCTTTAAGAATGATCTTCAATGACGATGGGCTGATCAATGCAAAACCTGTAATACTCGTGCCGGAAGAAGGAATAGCTGACCTGCAGGTCTTCACTGTCCAGATGAGTGCAAAAATGGCTGCCCTGCATGTAGTTCGGAGTGCATCGGCTGCAACTTTTGCAATCCAAAGGCGTGGCATGCTTGTGGAGCTGTGCAAGTTGCACCGAGCGCAAAATTATAAGCAAAATACACCGGATGCGCTTTTCATACAACATGCATGAACCGTGCGTATTATTGATTATTAATGCTGTTTCAGCATACAGCAACCATATGGATCTTTCAGGCATTTGGACCATTCGGACAGGCTGCTGGCGCCTCAAGTTCTCCAACCATGTGCTTCATGGTAGGGGAGTGTTTCTGGGTCCTCTCTGGTCCTCTCGGTCCCAGATTGAAGCATTTCACGGCAGGCAGAGTTTTGTCCGGTTGACATGCAGGCAGGATATTGTAAAAAAATTGGTTGTTGGTTTTTGCCCATTCATCCGTGTTTTCCGGTTTTAATTTCACCTTTGAAGGCTTCGGCGGCATCACAGATGTTGCACTGGACAGAACCTCCAAGCCGTGGCGCAGAACAAGTGGGCACCATGAAGATGGACCGAAAGCTGCCGTGTCGAAATGAGGGATCTTTAACAGACTTCAACAGACCAAGTTTGCTCGCATAAAGCCTTTCCTCACAATGTGGCAAGGGTTTGCAGTAAGTCATGTACATACTATTTGTTTCTACGGGGATATATTGCACCCTGGAGGCAGGCCCGTCAATCCAGTGAGGACAATAACCAGCGGGTACCAGAAGCGCAATGCTCTTTCCGTCACGAAGAAGCACACAGTAAATCAATGCGAATCAGAAGTTCATCAATTTGCCCTTTATGTCCTTCCTCTTGACTTGTAAGCTTGAAATGACCGCAGGTGATCGCAATGTTTGTTCAAAACTCAGGAAAACGTGAAGGGAACAAGATGGAGCAAGGTGCGTCTTACATTTACATCCTGTTTCGTTTCTGCGAAGGACCTAATCTTTAACAGTAGTCTCAGTCTCAGTGAACGTGCACAAAGCGTTGAGAAGCTCCACTATAAGCAACACAAGCATGCAGGACAAGCCAAAAGCCTCCAAAATGAACATGCTGAGCCAATTTCGTTTCAAAAACGGAGCAGTCGTGTTGAACAATTGCCAACAAAATGAGATATTAAAGATCGACGCCAGCTGCATAGCGCTGGCACATTTCATTCAATGTCAGTTCTTTGAGAAGCTGATCCGTCGAAGTGATATATATATATATATTTAATTTACTGTATAATCTGAAAGCCAAAAGTCCCAAAAGCGTCAAAAACAGGTGGGCCCGAGGGTGAGAGTCCAAAGGGCATCACTCACCTGTTCAACAAAAGCGAAACCTGCCAATCTGCCACTCCATGCCTAAGCCCGCAAGATTGCTTTGATTGGATGCCTTTACCATTGTCTTGAAACAAGCAAAGAGAGTGGGGTCACGACGCAGTAAAGTCGCAGCGACAGAATTCTGCAAGGGGAATGGGTTCTCAATACAAAGGGGCTGGTGGGTTTGGGGTATTTGGAGTGTGTTTGAACTGTTCAGAAGCCAGTTGTCGTTGTTGCCAATTCTTCGCGAGAGGAGGTGTCCTGCCGGGCCCCGTGCTTCGAAGTATGGTTTTCAACAGCTGCTTGGCAGCACTGGGCTCTTGATCTGGAGAATCAGAAAGTATGCCTCAGGCCCACCAGCAAAGCCTCTCTAATGTTTTGTGTTTGGATGCTGTCCCATCTATCGCGAAAGCCAGCCGATACTAGATGTAAAACCATGGTAACCATGACACACAGATGCGGATAGGTGGATGTGTGTAGAGTGTAGGCAGGTCGGTGGATAGCTGGTTGGACCGGTGGATGGATGGATGGATGGATGGACCTTTGTACCTTTGTCGGACGCTGAGCTCGAAGTCTCATTGCGCAACCCACTCTCGCACTTGGATGAGCAGGGATCGAAAGGGCCTCAATTGGCCAACATGTGAAGAAGCTCTTCGAGCTGTGAAGACATCTGTGTGCCATCTCTCAAGCGCATGAAGAGCACCACTGCAGCCTGCCAGATGTAGTTCGGCAGCTCGTCGAAATAGGTCGGCTGCTGGCCGTCGTTCTTCTCAATCCATTGCCCTTCGTGGCGCAGCAGCGCCGCGTAGTGTCCGCCGTGCCTGTCTAAACGCGCCAAAATCAGCAAATTAAAGTTGACCCTCCAGATGGGCACCCTTTGAGGTCACTCTGGCTAGTCCTTCTTTTTACATTTTTAGAAATTGCTTTGATCATAGTTAATCATATTTAAGCATAAAATTGTCACAAATAAGATTCAAAATGATTAGGAATTACACAAATAAGAGTAAAAATGACACAAATATGACTAGAAATGATTTTGAACAAAATTCCCCAACGAATAAACGTATGAGTGAACCAAAAGTGTTTGCACGAGTAAGTCCACAAGTGGAGCCACGAGTGAAGTTGCAGTGAACTTGCAGGCAAAATGAAAGTTCAACATTTCCTTTTGCGATAAGTTGACAAGTCTAGCGACAAGCCAACTTACAAAACACAATGAAAGAAGTACTAAGTACAGACGGTTCCTTTACGATAATCGCTCCTGGCCTCCTTGAAAGTTTAGGCGAGCGCAGCCCAGTCTATGTTTGCCACACACAAGTAGACAGTGCCGTCAGCCACATCATCGGAGCTGCCACCTTCCCGCAATCGAAACACCATGCCTGCCCTCAAGACCACAGCAAGCAGAGCGCCCTGAGCAAACTAGAAGTCAAACACAACGCAACAACTAAACATAACTAAACAGTTCAATGCAAATTGAAAATAACAATGACAAGTAAAGGACGACAAATGAAAAACTGACAAGTCAGCCAGGCATCTTGCAACCGCAGACCTTGTTCACGTAAGTTCTGCTGAACAAAGTGGCGCACAAGTGTCCAAGCTGCAGCAGAACGATGCAAAGATCTCTCGGTCATAGCATAGCTCCCCAAGATTTGCTTCCCAACAGGCGACTGTATTTCTTTGGTAGCTTCTCAGTTTTGGAAACGAATGCAGCCTTGAAGCTCCTCTTACCACTGGTTTGCTTCCACCTGAGTTTGAACACACTCTTGGAAACAGCAGCTGGGTGGTTGATTCCACGGCTTTCAAGCGCAGATGATCCCATAACCACCTGTTGAATCTGGTTAAAGGTCTGCTTTTTGGAGATGTTGGCCCTTGCATCATTGCGAATCCGCCCATGGATATCCTCAATCAACTTTGAACCCGGTAGGACAAGTAACATTCCCTTCAGAAGCTTCTTGCCTGATTCTTGCTGCTCTTGCTCAAACAGTTGGTAGGTAAGCCTCACAGCAGGCGCAACTGCAACACGAAGGTCAGCTGCCAAAGTTTGGTGCTTGGCATTCGACTCAAGTGCAACCAAAGTCTTCCAGTCAGACAGCAAAAGGTCCAGCGCAGGTTGAGCCAACTGGTCGTCCTCAGAGAGCAAATCCGCATAAACTTCTGGAGGTAAATTGTATTTGCTCAAGCTGCTGGCCCGCTTCTCCAGAAGGGATAAAATGTAGAAGAAAAGCTCGTGGACAAAGCTTTCCATGTTGCAATCTGATCCCTCCGGAAGATGATGCTGGGAGAATTCCAGGTACCGCCCAATCCTGTCAAAGTTCTCTGACCTCAACAGGACTTGGACAAGTCCCCGGAACTGCTCATCGCCCAGCCACTTGTCAATGGCCAGACTCATTGTTCTCGCAAGCCCATGTTGTGCGGTTTTCACATCTCGAACTAGTGAGGCATAGAAGGTCCACAGAGGCTGTCCTCCAAGATAGAGCACCCGAACAGAAAGCTATACCCGCCATGACATACAATGGAGGGCCAACTTCAGACCACCAGCCTCATTGCGCAAAGAAGACCATGGTTTGTCATTGGCATCAACTTGTTCGTCTGGGAACTCATGCAGCAAAATCATCCTGAGGCTCCACCAGTCAGAAAGCTGCTGATAGCAGCAGTCATGCCAACTGAACCATCGACTGGTCTTGACAGGCGCCAGCTTGTTACGCGTTGACTGCAACTGATCCACAAGCCCTTCAAAGATTTCAGCCAGGTCAGCTTGAGTCCGGATGTCTTTTTTCATGTCAAGCCTAATCAACTGGCTGTATTCATGAAAGAGTGGAGTCTCCTCAAACAGGTTGAGCTGTACTTGCAACACCCCATAATTATTTAAAAACTTAAACAGTGGTGGTGGTGGTGGTGGCATCTTAGTTCATTTAGTAGGTCAGTCAGTCAGTCTGTCAGTCACTCGAAGTAGTGCCAGTCCTCGTCTTCAAGCGCCGTGAAATGTTCCAGCAGTTCCATCTTCCCCTGATGGAACGCTGCGCTGTTGAAGGGCTTGTAGTTTATGCTCCACAGAAAAGTGGAGCAAAGGTGAGCACGTTGAAGGCTAGTCTTGATTTTCTGCCTGAGTCCTCGGGCTGCAACTGTCGAAACCATCATAGCCAGCTTCATGTCACGGGCGAGTCTGTGGAATGGGTCCCAGCAGTGGTGCACCATGTGGCATGAGTCAGTGTTGGGGCCGCCCAGGAAAGAAGCAACTGCCATCCCACATGTACCTTGATCCATGGACAAGGTCATGACCTTGACAGCATCGGCGCCAGACAAGTCAATCTTGGTCAAAGCCTTTGACTGTTTGTCCTGCGCAAATGATTGGGGTCCGTCAGCATCGTGAGTGAATACCCAAAGTTTCCCTGGGTCCAAGGGCTTCACAGCACAGCCAATGTTTGTACCTTCATAGTCAAAGGTGGTGATGTTCATTTCTCCATTGGTCAAGTGCTTGATCTGGTTTGACGCTGCCTGGAGCAAGTTGTAGGAAGCTTGTCTTGTGACCTTCCTTTGCGCTGCAAGCACTTCCAGCAACAAATCATCAGGCCCAACCAGTTTCCCACTTCTCACAAATTGGTTGTTCAAGTAAGCCGCAACATTATTTTCAGGGCTCTATACAACGCTGATCAGTCTATCCCTTACTGAGAAGCGGCTTGCATCAGCAACTACATGGATTAAATGGGCGTTCTTGAAGCTGAGAGCTGATCTGGCAGAATACATGTTGTAGTGCTTGCGCAGCCGCATCTGGGCGCTCTGTCCATGGCAACCTCCCTGACGATCATGTTCTTTTTTTCGTGCATAGACTGGTAAAGACAGTCCGAGTTCATTTGCATGCTCCTGCATTTTCCAAATAGTCTCTAGGTCCACTGACACTCTTCCTTTTCGAGGTCTGCTGCCACTCTGATTTTCCGTTTCTTTGGTGCCAACAGTATCAGGTGGAGACATTTCCTGCTGCCTTGACCGGCGGCCTCTTGAAGGAATTTGTCGTTGCTCAAGATCACTGCTGACTTGGGCTTGCGTGACAATGATATCGACTGTTAAAGCCAGGAACTTCACAATTGAGTTTCTCAAGGAGGTAAAAAACGCCATGGCATGCTGACTCAGTGTGCGACTGGCTTTTTGTCGCTTGAACTTGATGGACTTGGCCAAGAAGACAGTCAAATCCAGAAGGCTTGCAGCATCAAACTCGGAAGTGATTGTGGATTCCTCCTTCATATCATCCCAGAGCTTCCCTAAAGCTACAATCACACTCCGATGGACAGCAATTTCAACATAAATTGCTTCAAATTGCAAACACCAGATCCATGTATTCTAAGTCTTCTGTCGCCAGCGAGATAGCAGAAGCCACCTCCATCAGAATTCACTCTTTCCACCGCTTTCAAAGCGCACCTCTTCAAATGCACCACTGCAAAGCTAGACTTCTCGCTCAGACGTGAGCTCTCGGCAAGATGGAAAAGATAGAACACCAATCCAGCAGCGGTGACAACAGGGACATCCAGCTGCCCACTCCTAGCTGGCCAGTCATGGACTGGACAATCATGTTTCCTAAAAACACTCGAGGTTGAAAAAAGTAAGCCCTTATTTCAACCAGACTGTTGTTTTGAATTTGCTTGCCTTGTTGTCCTCCCAGACGCCCTGTGAAGAGAGTTTTCACCCAACAGCTCTTTCGCATCCGCTTGTTGAAGACGTTGGTGGACTGACTTGACAAACTTGTTCAACTCTTCCCCCGATTCTGCTGGCTCTGAATCATTGAGTCAAAGAAAAATGGAAGAGACCACATGGTGAAAGCATACGCATGTTGGAAGAGTCTCCGCAAGCTCCTCCAAAAAAAGTGCTGGAATGTCAGCAGGAAAGTCCATACTGCTCAGCACAGGCACACATGGTGTTTGAGGCACATGACTTGACCGACAATTACTTACAATGACTCAATGACATGACATAATATGACACACATGACACATGAAGATATAGACTCATGACACATGAAGTTGACAGCAGTGTGCATTATCAAACTCGGAGTCAGTCAGTGAGTGAAGTCTGTCTGAGAAACTGGGTCACCACACAGTGGTGTGCACTCACCAGCATCGACCTGCAGGCCAAGTGATTGAAGGCAGCTAGGAAAAGATTCAAACCCCAGTTGAGCATTTGTCAAGTTAAGTAGACTAAGTCTCTTTTAACTTGGCGAAGGGAACCTGAAGCCTGAAACAGGTGCGGGCCTTTCTCTCCATCGCGGTATTGCCATCATCCCAGCTAGTTTCCTCAAGCTAGGTTGCTCAAAT